GGAGAGGAATAAAGGAAATCATAGGAAAATGCAGTTGCTTAGTTAGATTCTATTTTTTGGAGAGAGAAGTAATAAACGTGGAAGTATGTAATCAGTAGAGAAGTAAAGAAGAGTATTTCTGACAATCAGGACAGAATGAAACAAAGTACAAAAGAAAATTGTGTCAAAGGCTAATTTTTTAAAAAAATGTACTGAAAGTAGATACTTGCAAATGCATTTATAATGCACAGTTGAACTGTTTAAAATTTTTAGCCTATGATTCTGCTGTAGGTATGTAGTAGCAATGCTGATGATGAATGGTAATTGGAATTTAGAACTTATTTGCTTCTTTAACTTACTATAATAACGAGAATTTACAACTTGGACAGAAGAAAGGAATTATATTCTACCCCTTTTTTTTGGGAGAGGTTTTTGCTATAGAGCGCATGTGCTCACCAAAAAGATATGGAGAGACAGAATGTGAGAAATCACCCCCCAGGGGAGGATGGCCACACTGCAATCCTTTCTCCTCCATTCTCCTCTCAGGATCTTTGGCATGCATGCACACATGCTCAGCGTGAGTTTAAGTCACTGGGTCTGGGACTCGAACCACAGTCAACTACATGGGAGTCCAGTCCAGTGACAGAGCCATTACGCCAACTGCTGGTCCCAATATATTCTACTCCTTTCTAGCCCTCACAGAACTCACACACAATAGGCAGTTGAGGTGGGTGGAACAATGGCACAGTGGTAAAATGCACCTCTTTGTGAGGCAGATCCACATGGGAGAATTACCAGTTTGCATCTGGAGTCCTCGCTGAATATGCCAGGCATGTGTATGCCATGACCCCGACTGACTGAGACTGGGAGTCTATCACAGCAACAAGACGGTGTTGGGGCTGCTGTATCTGTGTCTGTCTCTGTCTCTGTCTCTGTCATGCATGTAATACATAAATAAACTTTGCAAAAAAAAGTAGCCAGTTGAGATTAGTGGCTAAGTGTAGACTTTGGATTTAGGTAAACCTTTATTCTAATTCCCACTCCTCACTTTTCATTCCTCTTCCCTTTCAAAATTTCTCTACATCTTTAAGCTCCATTTACCCATATGTGTAAAATGTGGATAATTGCCTACCTTACAAAGTATTAGAAGATTAAATGACCTGGGACCAGCAGATGGTGTAATGGCTATGTCGCTTTACTCCCATGTAGTCGACCACGGTTTGAGTCCCGGACCCGGTGGCTTAAACTCACACCAGGTGCATGTGTGTGCATGCCCAAGATCCCAAGAGCAGAATGGAGGAGAAGAGATTGTGGCCTGGCCATCCCCCTGGGTGTGATTTCTCGCTTTCTGTCTCTCTGTCTCTCTCTGTCTTTCTGGTGAGCGCATGCGCCCTATAGCAAAAACCTCTCAAAAAAAAAAAAATCCAAAACAAAATAAAAAAGAACCCAGAAGATTAAGTGGCCTAATGCATTTAAAATGCCTATTATTATCCCTATAGCTAACAACTATAGCTATGGTTTATTAAGCATTTACTATGTGCAACTTCATGTGATTCTATGACAATATTGTAAGGTGGGTTTCCATTATCCTCAGTTTACAGAGGAGGAAACTGTGATCCAGAGAATGCTAGGTAATAATATAGTCATTTGTTTGGCCTACTTTTACTACATGATAATACATTTAATCAAATTTTATCATAAAAAGGAACCGTTTTTTGTTTTGTTATCTCGTTTGTTTTTTAAAAATAATTATTTAATTTTATTTATTATTATTATTTTTTAAAACTTTGCTATAGGGCACATGTGTTCACTAGAGAAAGAGAGAGAGAAAGTGAGAAAGCAAGCCACCAGGTCTGGGACTCAAACTGCAGTTAGTCATGTGGGAGTCCAGTGCCTTACTTACAACTGCTGGCCTCTTGGTTTGTTTTAAAAGGCCTGCTTACAGTCCTATATTTTACTCAAAGAAGTAGATAAGAAAGAGAAAACCTCTGATTCTTTCATCTTTCCTATCACTGTCTCAGCTTCATAAGGTTAAGAGGAAGACAATTTTAGGTCATGAAATTAAGGGAGGGTATCATAAAGGGAATTTGCTTAGAGAGAAGAAACAAAGAGTGAGTGCCAAGTGTTCTTACTTTTCTAGAAAGATGGCCTCCATTGCCTTTCCCACAGGTATCCTTCTGCCCTTATTTACTGTTTCTTGAGTACAAGCTCCAGGTCAAAAAAATTGTGGAGAATGGAAAGAATGATGGACAATGTCCAGAGTTTAATGAAGGAAGAATTAGTCCTTCCATAAAAGTCTTGTGTCCTCTGAGACTGTTTGTTCTAGTACCTGCTCTAGACAGTACCAGTTGAATGACTTATTCCATCAGTCTGTCAGTTTTATTCTCAGATGTATGCAGAGTCACTTCTGAAGGGTTTTTGGTTGCCACACTGATCCAGCATTGTTAAGAAACCGAGACATGCATTTCAGGACATGATGTTTTTTTTTTTTTTTGGAGAGATTTTTCACTGTAGGGCGCGTGTGCTCGCCAGACAGACAGAGAGAGACATAGAGACAGAAAGCGAGAAATCACCCCCCAGGGGGGATGGTCACGCCGCAATCCCTTCTCCTCCATTCTCCTCTCGGGATCTTGGGTACGCACGCACACGCGCCCGGTGTGAGTTTTAAGCCACCGGGTCCGGGACACGAACCGCGGTCGACTACGTGGGAGTCCAGCGACATAGCCATTACGCTAACTGCTGGTTCCCAGGACATGATGTTTTCAAAGGTAGTAAGAGCTTCTACTGTCTGCTGCAATAGGAGAGTCCTGTTCAGTTCTTGGTTCTGCTTTTAAGAGATGACAACTGTGGGTCACATGGAAATGGGAGTCTTTATCTCTAGTTTTCCTGGTTAATTCTGGATTATTTCTCAAGGAGGGTGACCAGGAGAGAGGAATAGGTATGTGTGCATCTCAGTCTTGGAAAACAGCTCACAATTCTGATATTCTGGTATTCTTTGACTGAGAGCAGAACCAGGACTAGAGGAACTTATGATAAAGCTGATATTTGTTCAATCTAAGGAAAAACTTTCCACCTGTGGGAAGTGTCCAAAAGGGGACTCTGCTCACAGATGAGGTATAAGGTTCTCAGCAATAGAAGTGAGATGTTTCATGGAGATCTCTGCAAATAAGTTCTAAGTCCCTTGTTAAAAAAAAAAACCAACGAGGCTATCATAGAAAGGTAGGCTCTCATAGAAAGCTAAAGTTTATATGGTCACCAAGCTTAGTTATAGAGTGCTTCTCAGTTTTCAGAAGTGAGTTTCTAAAAATAATAGTATTTTATAATGGGATTATCTTTTTCTTTATCAGTGGTGGTGAGTATTTCAATAAATGTATTGTTGTGGTTCACATTTATAAAAATTCAACAATATGAATATGTTTTGGAAATCTTTCTATATTCATTTCTAAAGACTTTTAAAAGAATTATTTATTTATTTAATTCCATTTATTATTATTTTTTCAATTTGACCAGAGACAGAGAGAGAGAGAGAA